CCTCGTAAAGTTGTAGTAAGCATTAAACGGAATAAGGTGTGTGTGTAGTGCCCACCAGAGTTCTTGTGAAATTCAGTTAAATAGGCAGACTCACAGGGCATCTGGGTGGCTCAGTCGGTTAAACATCTGCCTTCAGTTCAGGTCATGATCCTGGGGTCCTGGGATTGAGCCCCATGTCAGGCTCAGCAGGGAGTCTGCTTCTCCCTCTCCCCCGCCCCTCCCCCGCTCGTGCTCTCTCTCTCTCTCTCTCTCTCTCTCTCTCTCTCTGTCTCAAATAAATAAATAAAATCTGCAGGCTCACAACACTACCACAGACCACATTTCTTGCCAGCTTGCCAGCTTGCCAGCAGGGCAGCATCAAGAGTTCCTCTCAGCAGGGGTCCTGCTGAAACAAGTGACAGCTCACATACCTGTCGGGGGACTCTTATCTTCCCATGTGACACAGTTCCAGGTACAAAGCTCAAGATCCATAATCAAGCAGGTGCGGGAGCTACCCTGCGAAGAAGCCTCGTGACCTAAGCAGCCCGTATCTCTTGTAACAATTCTTTGGCATAGTTTCTAGGGTACCTTGAAAAGGACCGCACTCAGGCAAGTCCCAAGCATGGCACCCTCATCAGATATTTGCAGCTCACTCATACTTCCTTTCAGTCCAGATGCAATTTACCAGTCAGGGTTCATTTTTACCATAAGCGATGTTGCCTAGCAATATAATTCTTGCCTACCATCTACCTGGTTTCCAGGGCAACAGAGCTCCATGGTTAAACCAAAGGTGAGATTCTCAAGCAGCAAGGGGAAAGGTTTGTTAACCCTTTTATTCCAGTATGCGACAGACCTAACCAGGGGCCTCTCGTGTTATAGTTATCAAAATGTGCTTATTCATTCCTTTAACAAGTATTTAAGAACTTATACTGAGTCAGGCACTGTGCCAGACACTAGGAATATGGTGCTCATCTTTATATTGTTAACTCCCCCAATGACACCCTTAATTCCTTTTATTGTCAAAAGAACTATTTTTCCTTCAAAGGTCAGCTCAGGTATTACTGCTTCTCTGAAATCCATGTCCACTCTACTCCCCTAGCACTTTGTATTTACTGCCCTGAATTTGTAGGTTGGTTTTGTGAATTCATGAATCCTCTGAAGTAATATGCAGATTTGTGTGCATGTGGGAATGTATATTTGAAGAAAGGATGAAAACTTCTGTTAAATTTTCAGGGGGGTCTAACCAGCCCCCTATGAATTTAGAACCATTACTTTGTCATGAACATTTATTATATTTATTTTATAAGGTTTTATTATTTGCTCATAGGTCTATATCTCCTACTAGAACCCTGAGTACCTTGAGAGGGGGAACTGTGTGTATTAATATTTTGTGTCAACAGAGTGCCTGCTTCATAGAAGACTTTTAGAAAATGGGTATTGAAAGAATCACTTAATATCCTAAACAGGCTCAGCAGCTTGAGTGATGCTATTAGTGAACATTTCCTAATTTGAAAGGGAAAGTTCTTCCTTATCTTAAACTAAAATCAGCCTTTCTTCTTCCTAACTTTGTCCTCTGGACTTATAAATTAAATGTCTACTCTCTTCCATATTGTAATTGCCTTTTTAAAAAAAAAGATGGACACATTTTAGTATATTTTACTTCTATATTGATGTAAGAACAGTAAGAAAGAGATCTAGAAGAATGACCATTAAACGGTAATAAAGGGAATCACATTATATTTACAAATGCCCCTCCCCTATCCCTGATCAAATAGCTGACCAGTCCATGAGTGCACTTGCTGGCAGGGCTCCAGGTGGAATGTTTGAGGGTTCCCTGGGTTTGTTGTTGCTGGTGGATCCAGAATTACTGGACAGAGGCCTGTGGCGGATCTTGGCTTTGGGCTGATGCTTGAGAAGCTGGGTGAGGTGGTAATGGAGGTGCTGCTCAAAGACCTGCTTCCACGGTTCCCTTCCAGAGACTCCAGTGGGAGAAAGTGGTGTGTTCACCTGTCATTTCCTTACTGGTAGTTCTTTTTTCTTTAAGTTTTTATTTAAATTTCAGTTAGCTAGCATACAGTGTAATATTACTTTCAAATGTACAATGTAGTGATTCCGCACTTCCCTGCAACACGCGGTGCTCATCACAACGATCCCCGTCACCTACTTAACCCATCCCCTGCTCCCCTCCCCTCTGGTAACCATCGGTTTGTTCTTTGTAGTTAAGAGTCTTTTTAGGAGACTTATAGTTGAGGAGATCAAAGAAAAAGGGCTAATATGGGGGAAATCATTAAAAAATAACACATTTGCATTCAAATATTTTAACTTAAAACATGCAAATGTAGATTAATTTACTAATATTTTATTACGGAACCAATATCTTTTTGTTGAACATGACTCCACTGTTGAGTAGCTTTTTTTTATTATCAGGTATTTCATCCAAAATTCACCATCTACAATTTCTAGTTTGTGTTTTCTTAAATGGAATGAGAAGTTACACATTCTTAAAGCAGGGGAATTGTAGACTTCTAGATTTTTACTCTTCCTCCCTTTTTCCAGTGTTCTGTAATTGTATCTCCCATGTCTTACCAGTTAATTTTTTTTTTTTTTTTTACAACTGGCTTTCATTTAGTCTGAAATCTTTAGTTTCAGGAGAATAGCAATTCATATTTCCTTTGTTTACACACTATTAAATTATGTAACTAAAATAAGGTATAAGTGACATAAACAGGTCTGTAATCAAATACAGTTGACTCTTAGCACATGTTTCTGTGCATAGGAACGGAGGTGTGCAAGTATTCAGGCTGCTTTAAGCATTCACACTGCTGCTCATGGGCATTAGGAAGACCATGAACATGTTTTTATTCTGTTTTTCTCAGGATTAATTATTTTGAAGTTTCTCATCATCCTGCCCATATTTCTTCTTCTCTTAGACTATGGATCTCCCTACTTAAGAGTAGAATAGAGGTAAATCATGTTTAGCCTTTCTTCTGATAAAGTCTGAGGTATCTCTTGTTGTCCAGAAAAAAAATGAAACCATTGGAAAAAAAAAACAACTGGTAGCAAATATAAGGGCCTACTTAATTATAAGGCTCTTTTAAGCATAAAAAATAATAGTAAAGTGGAGCTCAATTTCTTTCCCCTTGAGTGTGATCTGGGCTTAGTGATTCACTTCCAAGGAATAGAGTATGCAAAGGAAGGAATAAGTAGCTTTATTAGTGGAGAAACTTGGTAGATACCGCCCTGGCCAAATGTTCAAGTTTAACAGCACCAGTGATAAGTCATATTGATTGAGAGAGTGTACCCTCTGATAAGATGTGCTGAGAAGGTCACTTCACTTCTGTGGTATTCTTTTCCAAACCCATAACCCCAGTCTAATCTTGAGAAAACATCAGGCAAACTTAAATTGAGGGATATTCTGTGAAACACCAGACCACTGCTCTTCAAAAATTTCAAGGTCCTAAAAAATAAGGACAGACTAAAAAAATGTAGCCGACTAAAGGAGACTAGGGAAACAAGATGACTAACGGCAGTGTGTTATCTTGAATTGGTTCCTAGATGAAAGGAAAAAAAGGACATTAATGGAAAAACTAGGGAAATCCAGATAAAGTTTGTAGTTTTGACAAATCTTCCATGGTTATATAAGATGTTAACCTTAGAGAAAGCTCGGTGGAGTGTATATGAGGATTGTCTGTACTATTTTTTAACCTTTCTGTAAATTTAAAATTACTCCCAAATAAAAAGTTTATTGCAAAATAATTAATGGGAGAAATCACAGAAGAAAGGGTTAGGTAATTTGAAATTTAAGACAAACCAAATTAAAGGGGCAATAACACTGAAAAGGTATTTGTCACAGATGATGAATAAAGGGCTAAGATTCTTAAGATAGAATATACTTTTAAAAATTAGTAAGAACATTCTAATACTTCATTGGAAAATAGTCACTGATCACAGCTCACAGAAGAAACACGCTGGTCAATAAATATGAAAGCCAGTTCAGTCTCACTAGTAATTAAAGAGTTGCCAATTAAAACCGTATGTATGGAGAATATTTTCACCCCTTACATGGAAAAGTGATAGTATTCAGTTCTGAAGAAGGTAAGTGGAAGAATTAGAGATTCATACAGCCTTTCTGAAAAGCAGTTTGCCAATATGTATGGGATTTTAAAATATGGATATCATTTGTGATTGTGGTCTTACTCTTGCAAGATTTTTTTCCCAAGGACATAATCAGCTGTGTATACAAATTTTTTAATAAGAAGGTTCATCACAGGGTTGTTGATACCAAAAAACTCAAAACCTGAATATCCACCAGTGAGGGAATGATCTAAAAGTTAACTGGCAGGCCTTGGGGCACCTGGGTGGCTTGGTCGTTAAGCATCTGCCTTCAGCTCAGGTCATGATCCCAGGGTCCTGGGATCGAGCCCCGCATCAGGCTCCCTGCTCCGCGGGAAACCTTCTCCCTTTCCCTCTGCCCCTGCTTGTGTTCCCTCTCTCACTGTGTCTCTCTCTGTCAAATAAATAAATAAAATCTTTAAAAATAATAATAATAAATAAAAGTTCACTGGCAAGCCTCTAGAATAGAGTGGCATCATTAAGAATCATAATAGAACTAAATAAACAGTGAAAGCAAGATACAGTTTGTGTATATCTTCTGATCCCGTACTGTGTACATGGGTATAACTATGTTTCTTAAAAGGATTGCAAGGAAATATCCCATCATTTTCGAAGTAGTTACTTGTCTTTGGATGGTAAGGAAAGGGTGATTTTTATTTACTTTATACCTTTACATTTTCAAACTGCCTATCACAAATAAGTATATATTACTTTTGTAATCTGGGGGGAAAATTATTGCAGACAATGTAGCTACTGACTTTCTTTCATCTTTCATGCTGATTTAATTAAGAAAATGCTACATTTCCATTTTATTCTTTAAAAAATTGTTTTTCCTATCATCTGCAAAGAGTGAGAGTTTGACTTCTTAATAAAATAAAATTAAAAATTGTTTTTCCTCTCTCTACTAGGAAGCTCCTCAGGGTACTCCCATTGCCGAGTGAGAATTGGGGAGCTCTAGTTGAAGAATGGTGTTGTCATCCTGACCCCTTTGCTAATAAGCCACTTCATCCACAAGAGCATGACTGTTTTATTGGAGACTCTTTCTTCTTGGTGAATTTAAGAAGTGATTTATGGCAGCCAAGACCTGAACTAGCCCCAGTGGAGACACAATGTCCTTCTTCTGAGAACCATTTTAAACTGGTAAAGTATCTTTTCAAAATAAATGCTAATTTGGAGGTTGGCTTAGAAACTGGTTTCTCCTATCTTTTCTTAATTAAAGCATGCTACACAGACTGTTCCAAGGACCAAAATCCATGATTTTCAACTGCCTCTATTCACCACCTCTGCTCTGCTCTATTGATAGAGGAAGAGATCATATGGCTTTAGACCAGAACAGCTTAAGGGGCTGGAGAAAGAAGAGAAAGAGGACTTTTTCATGCATAGAATTGGGAATGTTGCCATTTTACAAACCAAAATGCCCTACTTTCTTGTTTTTAGGACAACATATCATAATCTATATAGTCTGATTTAAATTAAAAGTGTTCTTTTATTCCAAGATATATACTATACAGTTAGGCCTAGGTATTTCCCCGTGTCTGCCCATTGTTAAGACTTCTGCTGATGTCATAAAAGCAGATGCCATCAAGGAAACAGAGAAAACGGAGGAGTCAAACTGTGGAAATGAAGCTTGTGCTGTGATTCCAAGTTGGTGGTGGACAATGTGAGGTCAGGTGCCTCTTGCTATAGAGGTTGATTTAGGGAGAAAGAAGTTTTTTCCTTTCACTGCAGAGGACAAGTGCTTTACCTCACTCTAAAAGAAAATCAATGGCATTGACTTGGCCCTTGTGAGAAATCATTCTCCTGATGGCAGGTCAATACAGATGTGATTTAAAAAGTAAAGAAAATCATTGCCAGAGAATCTTCATTTTTAACATCTGATTATCGGTAGGAATAAAAGCATTGTATATTAAATTTCATTTAAAACTCATTTAATTTTTGTAACAAAAACTGAACCACCTCAGGAAATGTGCAATAGTTGGGTAGCTCTCAGGTTTATGTAAGTTAGTTTATAGAACTGTTTTATATTTTGAGGGTAGATTAAGGAAGTTGATCAAAGATTGAAGTTATCAGAATTATTTAAGTGCCTTATCTCTCACCATAAACACCCATCCCTTTACCTAAATATGGTTCGTTTAAAATTATCGTACCTTATCCTTGTGTAGTTTTCCAAAAATAAATGGTAAAAAGTTAATAAAAATCTGTTATGTTTAAAATGGTTATGTTAAAATCATATTTTAATCTAAATTTGTAGACTAATACTGTACTGTTCTATGTATTTTAACTTTCATTCTTGCGATTAAGCTATAAATTTTTAAAATATTTGCAAGGTGTGAATAGAAGAGGAGAGGAGAAAGATTAAATAAGAGAAACCATGAGTTTCCCTTTTTAGATAAATTCTGCACTCTATATGGAAATACATTCTTCATATTTATGTCTTTATCAGTTATATGATGCCATTTACAAGAATTTCTCTCAATTGTGAACAGCCATCCTGTGCATTAAAGGAAGACCCTTTATATTCAGACATTATGGTGTTTAGTATCAAGGAGACTGTGGAAAACTCCGGTCATGACAGCTGCTTTGACAAGATTGTTTCCAAGTTAGCCTAGATGGAAGTTCTCTTTAATTGCTTATTGCAGCCATTGAAAGAGTATGCCTGTGTCCAAAATAGTAACATATATTTGGAGGGACTGCTTAAACAGTGCTCTCAAGGCTCCTGTGGGAACAAGGCTGCCCTGTGCTATTGAAAACCTATTTCTCATATCAACAAGTCTAGCCATCTAGCAGGGTTTTGAAATGTCACATGGTGACACAGCATCCTAATGCTATCTCTTGGGAAACATTTTTTTGGCGAGACAGTATCAAGGGTCCTTAGAAATTGAAACAACGCAAAGGGAAATAAAAACAAGGACAGGAGGCTAATCCACATCTCTGAGCAGTGGTGCCTTCTCTCAGATATATTGATTTAATTAGTCCACAACAAGGTCTTTCTTTGATGTCGGGTTCCCACACTGTTAGGCTGCTTCATCGCACAGCTTGCTTTATTATTTCCTTTAAGCATCGGTCAAGAGAAATGCATTACAAAACAGAGTTTCTCTTTAAACAAAATTTCAAATGCTATAAGATTTTAATTAAAAAGGCCTGATTTTAAGGATAGCATAAACAAACAAAATCCAACACTTATTTCTTTCCCTCAAAACCCCTTTTGAGTGTACAGTATGTTATTTGTGCCTGTTAATGTGGCAGTATATAGGGGCACCTGGGTGGCTCAGTCGTTAAGCGTCTGCCTTCGGCTCAGGTCATGATTCCTGGGATCGAGCCCCACACCGCACCAGGCTCCCTGTTCAGTGGGAAGCCTGCTTCTCCCTCTCCCGCTCCCCCTGCTTGTGTTCCCTCTCTTGCTGTGTCTCTCTCTGTCAAATAAATAAATAAAATCTTTAAAAAAAAAATGTGGCAGTATATACCTTTTGTTTTCAAAAGATACCTCCTGAAGATTTCCTTATTTCTTGCATTTATTGTTTCATGCTATTTTTTTGTGTCTACCAGCATCTTAAAATAGGATGATAAAGATGGCACCTCACCCTTTTATAAGATTCATAGTAGTATTCTAGACTTAGAAAGTATGGTCACACTGTAACTTCACCCTATCTTTTAAGGAACAAACGAAATTGAACTTTGATTATATCACAGTGTGACTAACAGCTTTACTTTTTTTTTCTTTCCTAGGGTACTTGGCAATAATTTATTGATTTTTAGTCATTTGTTTTGTTGAATCCATAAGGCTGGTTTTTTTTTTTTAATTTTCTTAGATTAATGGGTTGAACTTTGTAAACATCGACAAATGTAAAAGGGAAAGAATTGTGAACTTCAGTGTACCAATCATCTTGATTCATAAAGTAGGCTTCATCTGTCCCTTTAATTCCCTCCCCAGCCGGAGTGCTTTAAAGCAAATCCCAGACTTTATGTCATTTTATCCCATATGGATTTTTCTTTTTTAAATAGCCACAGTGTCATTTCACATTTGACAAAATGAACAATTACTACTTATGATAAAATACAGGCCATATACAGGTTTTACCAATTATATTAAAGGTCCCTTCTACCATCCATTTGTTTGAATCAAAATACACATATTTGGTTGTTTGAGATAATTTGCTTTTTATTGATCACATTTTAAAATCCTGATTACCAGTGTCTTGAAAAGGTAGACTCCTTTTTTTTTTAAACCAACAAATACCACTTTTCCTGCTTCATTGAAAGATAAAGCAAAATGTGCTGTAAGAGCAATTATAAATGAAATACGTAACAGAGCACCTGATGAAAAATTCTCTGCTTTGAATATAAAAATTTCTTCTTCTCAAGCATTGCTACTCCAATACCTGGTATTAGTTTTTAGTAAAGCCTTTAGTTTTTGGTAAGATTTAATGAAGATGGTTTAATTTAATTTGTACAAAATAGATCCTTTAAAAAGTGTCTTTACTACCAGTTTGGAGCTATACAGATAGATTTTATTGTAAGAAAGCGTGAAAATGCCCAAATTTACAGTTGAGCATACCTGCTTTCTGAGCTGTCTTCTTCCTATATCCTTGCCTACACCTGAACAGATTATCACCTGCCTTTGTTTCTATGTCTGTGGCTTTGACTTTTTTGACCTCTAATTAAAGTAAGAAATACATATATTTTTAAAGATTTTATTTATTTGTTTGAGAGAGAGAGAGCACAAGCAGAGGGGCAGAGGGAGAGGGAGAAGCAGACTCCCCCGTGAGCAGGGAGCCCAACACGGGGCTCCATCCTAGGATCCTGAGATCATGACTTTAGCCAAAGGCAGACGCTTAACCTACTGAGCCACCCAGGTGCCCCAGAAATACATTTTTTATATCAAGATCTGATAACACTATGCACACACATGAACACATGTCAAGTAAAAGTTTCTTGAAGTAGTACTTACACTGTGTTTGAAGTCCTGTGATATGTCTATTCTATTTCTTTTTAATTATTATGTTAATCACCATACATCATTAGTTTTTGATGTAGTGTTCCATGATTCATTGTTTGCGTATAACACCCGGTGCTCCATGCAGAACATGCCTTCCTTAATACCCATCACCAGGCTAACCCATTCCCCTCCCCCTCCCCTCTAGAACCCTCAGTCTGTTTTTCAGAGTCCATAGTCTCTCATGGTTCGTCTCCCCCTCCGATTTCCCCCCCTTCATTCTTCCCCTCCTGCTATCTTTTTTTTTTTTTAACATATAATGTATTATTTGTTTCAGAAGTACAGGTCTGTGATTCAGCAGTCTTAACACAATTCACAGCACTCACCATAGCACATACCCTCGCCCGTGTCTATCACCCAGCCACCCCTTCCCTTCCACCCCCCACCACTCCAGCAACCCTCCGTTTGTTTCCTGAGATTAAGATCATCTTTTATTTTATTTTTATTATTTTTTTATTTTTAGAGAGAGAGAAACAGAGCCAGCATTGGGGGGGGAGGGTGGGGCAGAGGCTGAGGGAGAGAGAAACTCTTAAGCACGCCCAGCGCAGAGCCTGACACGGGGCTTGATCTCATGACCGTGAGATCATGAGCTGAGCCGAAATCCAGAGTTAGATGCTTAACCCATTGAGCCACCCAGGTGCCCCTCTCTTTCATCTTTTTAAAAAATGTAGGCCGTAACCAATTGAACTGATTCTATGAGTTAGTTTGGAAAACACTTGACATAGTGCTTAGAAGCACAAATTTTATTTATTTGTTTTTAAAATTTGTTTTAATTTAAATTAAATTAATCAACATATAATGTATTATTAGTTTCGGAGGTAGAGTTCAGTGATTCATCAGTCTTATATAATACCCAGTGGTCATTATATCACGTGCCCTCCTTAATGTCCATCACCAAGCTACCCCATCCTTCCACCGCCCTCCCCTCCAGCAGCCCTCAGTTGGTTTCCTATAATTAAGAGTCTCTTATGGTTTTTTTCCCTCTCTGATTTTGTCTTGTTTTATTTTTTCTCTCTTCCCCTATGATCCTCCATTTTGTTTCTTAAATTCCACATATGAATGAGATCATATGATAATTGTCTTTCTCTGATTGACTTATTTCATTTAGCCTAATACCCTCTAGTTCCATCCACGTCATTGCAAATGGCAAGATTTCATTTTTTTTTTGATGGCTGAGTAGTATTCCATTGTATATATATATATATATACACCACATCTTTATGCGTTCATCTGTTGATGGACATCTGGGCTCTTTCCATAGTTTGGCTATTGTGGACATAGAAGCGCAAGGTTTAGCATTGAAGGGATCTAGATTCAAATATCAGCTCTATCAGTTACTAGCAGCACATCCATGGAACTCAGTTTCAGTGTGCCTCTTATGTAGTTTTTTAGGAAGTAGTGATTAATGCTAAGGAAAATGTAATTGTACTCAAACTTAATCAGTTAAGATTCCTTAGATCAATACATACGTTATCCCACATCAGAAAGGCACTCATTCCTTACTTAGACCAGCACTCTATTCTGTGGTTTCCCAGAAGAGATGGCCAGAGTTACAGAAATTCCTTCTCCCTGCCCACTTTTATGCAACTTCTGCCATGTTGCAGTGTATCTTTGTGAGAGGACTGTTGAAGGGCTTTAACAAAGATATTGCTATGGAAACATTTTTTTTTTTTTGTAGATTCTTAATACACAGTGGCTGTCCAGTAAAAGACAAAAATTGGTCCCTTTTGGGAAGGTATGGGTTTTCAGCCTATCTTGAATGATGTGTGCCAAAAGTATATTTTGTTTATGTAACATCCACTTAGTAGTTACCACGTACCCAGGGAGGTGCTTTATAACACCCCTTTTTAAATCCTAATAACGCTATGAGTTAAGCGCTACTATTAACTCCCTTTTACAGATGAGGAAACCAAACCAGGTTAATCAACTTGCTCAAGGTCGTGTGTAGTAAATAACAGGGCCAGGATTGAAACTCAACGAAGTCTGGCCCAGACTCAGGGCTCTTAATCACCATGCTATTGCTTATAACATAACCTCTTATAAAAAACTACAAATCAGTAAGTTTTTTTTAACTTGAGGTATAACTGACATATAACATTATATTACTTTTAGGTATATAATGATTTGATATTTGTATGTATTGCAAAATATTCACCATAATAAGTCTAGTTGACATCCATTACCATACATAACTACAAATCTTTTTCTTGTGATGAGAACTTTTAAGATCTACTCTTAGCAACTTTAAATATATAATACAGTATTATTAACTGTAGTTGCCGTGCTGTACATTACATCCCCATGACTTCCATGTTCTGTCACTGGAAGTTTGTACCTTTTGACCCCCTTCACCCATTTTTACCACCTCACCCCCTGCCTCTGGTAACCACCAATCTGTTCTCTGAATGTAAGAGAACTTTTTTTTTATTTATTTGCTTAATGATTAGATGGATGCTAGCCGTTTAATCTGTATCCCAAATGAATGAATTTGGATTTTTGAAGTTTAAGAATGGATCAGGAATTTGTCTCAGAACACTTTGCGGTTTTTTCAGGTACAATGCGTATCTTAAGTGGAAAAATAGAATTAGATGAATGGGTTAAATATTTTTGACTTCTCATGAGTGGTTATGAACCATAGATTACTTTTACATGAGTTACACTGGACTAGGAGTCAAAATAATGGCTCCAGGTTTTGATTCTCCTGTTTTCTAGAAACATGAATTGGGACAAGTCACCTAGTCTCTCTGCCTTTGTTGTCCACCGTCTGTCTATCCTAAATGGTAATGGATGTTTGGAAGTGCTTTTTAGAAATGTAAGGTGCTTCTTGCTCAAATTATTTACAACAGTTAGATTATCAAGAAGTGGCTAGGTTTGGAAAAATCAGTCTGTTCATTATTCTTTCTTTAGATTAAAAAAAAAAAAGATCTCTGTGCATGTGAATTATGCATACAAGCTAAATGTGTTCCCAGTATTTAGTAGAGGGCAAAATAAAATGTAAAGTTCAATGTATACTCTAGAGACTATGTTAAAATTATATATTCCTTTTAAGAAAAGCTGAATGACATTTAAATGACATTTTTCTGTTCTACAGAAACCAAAGGCAAATACCAAAGTAATTTGTAAGCGTTGCAAGGTAATGTTGGGAGAGACCATGTCATCAGGTAAGAATTTCATAATAAAAAAGCCAAAATGATTGCCTTCTTGTTAAAAAAGAGTAGAAGGAGATTTTATAGGAAATATATATTAAAGGTAACTAATATATGTTATAGAATTGATGATTTTTAAAATAGAAATCAGCTAACATATCATCTAATATGCCAAGAAATTTGTATATTTTGACCTTTATAAGTACATAGTATTGTGTTTTAAGCATTAAGAAGTTGGGTCATTTTCAGTATTTCATATCCTCTCTGTGGTTATAAAGCAATAGTATAAAGTTTGTACCTGTGTCTGTCCTGAAGAATAGTGGAGCTTTTTTCTCAGTACAACTCCTCAGTCAGAATTGTTGGTTGCTAAAGATGATGAAGTTTTCTTGGCTGCCCTCTGCCTCAGGGCTCTATGTTAGGGCTGGGGGTTGAAATGGAAGAAACCACATTCTGAGTTTTGTACTCTGTTCCTTGTTCATTATGTAAAGTCTGTTATACCACTTTCAAATATAATAAAATCCTGATAATTAAATTGCATTGTTATTTAAAGATAAGGTTTAAAAATGTCTGGAGAGCTACAACATGCTGCATTAGCTTTGTGGGTGATGAATAATTGTTTTTAATATAATTAACTAGAAGATGTGATTTAAGTGAAGCTAGTGTACCCAAGAGAAGGCAGATGGTGGTCTTTTTGTTTGTATTTTAAAATTATCAGAATATTGTAAGTAGTTACTTGCTCAGAGTGAACAGAAAAGGAAGAGTGAGTAGGGATAAAGGATGCCACCTTCAACGTCGTTTTGGAGAATGAAAGCAAGTGCTTTAAGCAACAACTTAGAAAATGTTAAGGCCTCTAGTCAAATTAGGTGAATTGATTTTTTTTTTTTTATTCTTTTCTCCCTGAAGCCCAGTTAAAATGTCAGTTAAGGAATAAAAAAGATGTACATCCACAGAGAAAGAAAAATGGAGAGGAAGCAACAGTGATGTAAACAAGAGGTATAAGCACACTCTTTTGGAAGCTGTAAAGCTGAGAGGTGTGGGAACATGCTTGGCGGTACGGAGGAAGTTGCAGCCTCAGTGTCTGCAGATCATCTGAGTGAGGAGTGAGCCAGTACTCACTGTAGAGCCTCAGAACTAGTCTGCTCAGAATTTGTAGGCAGCACGTAACAGGGAAAGCAGTCTGAGACAAGGGGCTGGAGGAAGGATGATTAATTCAAAATTTTTATATGGAGCTGTAAGACAACTAAGATTCCTCCTCTGTTTAAAACTTGCTTATACTCTCAAGGCAAGAGATTAGACGACTCTTTTCTTGGAAAATGGAAGAATACCAACCAGAGAAGAGATGTGCAGACACTGATTTGTAAGGGTCTTTCCACAGTAAAATGAGATTCAGCCATCCTACAGTCAACAAGCCTTGTACCTACGCCTGAGAGTTTCCTGTCAGCATTTTATTACCTTACACTTAAATATGAATGGATTAATGAGAATCAACAAGTATTTGAGCAAACCTCCAACTATAAAAGAGACTGAAGTAAATAAACAATGAAGTAAACAGAATAAAGGCACTGAGAAGAAATATGTATAAAACAGAAGAAAATCTTTAACAAAAGTAATGTTCTTAAAGAAATGGAATAATATTGCCCCCATAATTCAAAGAATGTAGACTGAAAGATGCGATTGCCTAAAAAACCTAATCAAAGGACTAGAAAATAAATTAAGGAACTATCTTATCTCATAAATCAGAACCAAAATTCAGAGATTGAAAATTGGAAAGGAATTATAGGAAAAAAAATCATCATGTAAATTTCCTGAGGATAGAGATATTGTCTATCTCATTTATCACTGTAACCTCAGCACTAAATATAGTGGGTACCCAGTAAATACTTGTTGAATGAATGAATGAATGGAGACTTTTAGGATATTCAACATCTAGCTAATAGAAATTCTAGAAAAAAGAAAGACTAGAGACAACAGTTAGGAAATTATCAAACAACAGAAATACTAAAAAAACATTGCAAGACTATTTTCCAGAGCTAGGGCTATGGTTTCTCAGCTGAAAGGGCCCACTACATGTCCAGTGACATGACTAATGGGATGGCAGAGAAGCTACTCAAAACTGTATTACTGAGTAATTTCTAAACACCAAGGAAGAAGTTTCTGGAGGAAAAAAAGCAAGTAGTATACAAAAGATCAGGAATTAGAATGACATTGAACTCTTAACAGCATTGTTGAAATCTAGAAGATGGTGAAGTAATGCCTTCATAATTTAGAAGGAAAAAGATTCTATCACAGTCAAACTATCAATCAAGTATGAAGATAACACATACAGTTTTGGAAATGCAGTGTCTCAAAACACAGACCTCAAATGTATATTTTCCTTAGGAATGTACCATAGGATATACCTCACCAAACCTAAGGATTTAACCTTTAGAGAGAGGACATGGGATTTGGGAAACAGATTATCTAACACAGATAAGGGAATCATAGGGTGAGGGACACACAGGCAGGTGCAGGGAATAAGAGTCTAGATTGAAGCAAAGGAGAGAAGATTGCAGTAAACATTTTTTCAACTACAAGATGAACTGATACATTCTTCAGTTTGACCAGACATAACAATCTTGAGATAAACCATTTTATCATATGGAAGGAATTAGCTAAAGGTGCTTGGAAAGCTAAACACATGAAAAAGAAAGCAGGTATGCACTGCAGGAAAACAGAAGGCTGAACAAGAAAGGAAACATTTCCATGGTATCATGGTCATTATAATATAAGGTATAAGAGGCAAAGGAGAAACTAGAAATTTAAGAGGGAGATTTTGGAAGCAAGAGGCAGGGGGATGGGCTGAGATGGTAACTTCTCCACATAGCTGTGGCTGACTCTTAAATGTGTTAAATGCATCTATTGTGTAATAGATGCCAGAGAGTCCAATAAGAATTAAAAGCTCGGGGAGATCTGCACATTTCCCATGTGTTTGATTTCATTTCTCAATCTACACACAATTGGGCAGCAGAAGGTAGGAGCCTTAATGGCTTGAGGTATTTGAGCAAAACCTCGCCCCAGATTTGCTGACAGCTAAACTCTGCAGGTATAGTGAATGGTCTCTAGGGAGCCAGGCTAAGCAAAATAAAACTGAGCAGAAACATTAGCAGCTACACACTGTGGGAAGACATATTTCATAGTTTGAGTCCAGGCTAGTTAATTGACTATTATAAGCCAACAACCCTTAAAAGAACAAAACAAAATCCAGAATAGCAACATTATATTACATACAGTGTCCTACTTCCACTTAGAAATTATTAGACTTGCAAAGAAACAGAAAAGAGTGATTGATAACCAAAAGCAGGACTCAGCAAACAGGTACTGAGTAAGCACAAACATTAGATTTAGTAGACAAAGATGTTAAAGTGGCTGTTATAAATATGGCTAAGAATTAAAAGGGGGAAAAAAAAACTCCTCAGTGAACTAATGGCAAATATCAACAAATTGGAAACTTCAGAGAGAGAACTATTCGTAATTACAGAGCTGAAAAGTACAGTATCTAAAAAACTCACTAGATCAGCTAAACTACGTATTTGTGATGACTGAAGAAAAAATAGTCATTGAACTTGAAGGTATATTAATAGAAATTAACCAATGCAAAGAACAGAGGAAAAAGTCTGAATCAAAATGGACAGAACCTCGGAGATTTGTGGGACAATATCAAATGTTTCAGTTAATGTGTAAATGGAATCTCAGAGGTAAGAAGAAAAAAATAACTCAGGAAAAAGTATTTGTAGAAAACAATGGCTGAAATCTTGGCAAATTTCCTGAAAAATATTAACTCTTAGATTCAAGAATTGCAGTGAAAAGTAGGATCAACACACAGAGCACTTCACCAGGCACATTGTAGTTAAACTGATAAAAGCCAAAGATGAAGAGAGAATCTTGAAAGTACAAGAGAAAAATGGAACATCACACACAGGGACTTCCTGATACAATTAAGGCTGACTTTTTGCAGAAATAGTGAAGACACTAAAATGAGATATTCAAAATTCTGGGGGGGTGGTGAAGAAAGAAGAAAAAAACCTGTCAACTAACAATTCTATATCCAGCAAAACTGTCCTTAAAAATGAAGGCAAAATAAGAGCATTTTCATACAATAGATGGAAGTTATGCATTATTAGCAGATCTTCTCTACAAAAAATGCTAAAGAAAGTTCCTCAGGCTGAAGTGAAAGTTACCAAATGGTGATTGGAAACCACAGGAAGGAATGAAGATCAAGATAAATAGAAAATATATGAGTAAATTACCACAAGAGCAAACTCAAAGTTTAGCACAAAATTGAAGCCACCTTTTCCCTGCAATATGCCACTTCTCTAAAATTATTTTGATTGCTTTGAGAAGTAAGGACATAAAGACTACACAAAAAGGGAACCTAGCAGACGACTCTGCACAAAAATTTGGGACCCGAAAGAGCCATACCCTTACTGTGAATGTGGAATTACAGATAGGTATCAATCCTTTGGCACCTAGGGAATTTCAAGTCTTAAACTTGGTAGTCTGTCTTGGACTAGCTATAACACCCATATGCCTGGTAAAATCAAATGTAAATCACCTCTGGAGTAAAATACCTTCATTGTAAAACTCACACTCCCACAAATAATTTGTCAAGTACAGTGTTCCCCATACAACCAAAGACAAATAAGCACACAAGTAAACTAGACTTCCTTCAACAAGAACTAACAAAAACAGAAACAACAGAAACAGACTTCTGTTATTAGAATTGTCAGATGTAAACTAGAACAATCGTGCTTTCGTTTATTGAACAATATAAGAGACAGGTTTGAATATCAAAATGCAAAGGAAACAAGAGCAAGCATATTTGGAAAAGATCTACAGTAGAATTTCTAAAAAATATGTAACGGAAATTTAGAATTTAGTCGGTGATTTAATGGCAAATTAGGTATAACTTGGAGAAAGAATTAATGAATAGAAGATAGATGAGAAGAAAAATCTGTAATCTAGCACAGAGAGACAAGAAGGCAAAAAATATAGGAGTGAGACGTAAAACATACACCGAGAAGATCTAACATATGCTTTTTGTTTTTTTAGTTTTTATTTGAATTCCAGTTAACATATACTGTAATATTAGTTTCAAGTGTACAGTTTAGTGATTCAGCACTTACACACAACACCTGGTGCTCATTCAATAAGTGTGGTCGGTAATCCCCTTACCTATTTAACCCATCCCCCCACCCATCTCCCCTCTGATAACCGTCAATTTGTTCTCTGTAGTTAAGAGTCTGTTTCTTGGTTTTCCTCTCTCTTTTTTCTTCTCTGTTTGTTTTTTTAAGAGAGAGAGAGAGTGGGGTTGGGGTGGGGAAGGGTAGAGGGAGAGGAAGAGAATCTTAGGCAGGCTCCACACCCAGCGCCGAGTCAGATTCAGGGCTTGATCTCACAATCCTGAGATCATGACCTGAGCCAAAATCGAGATCTGATGCTTAACTGAGCCACCCAGGTGCCCCCATTTGCTTTGTTACTTAAATTCATACATGAGTGAAATCATAAGGTATTTGTCTTTGACTTACTTCACTTAGTATAATACTCTCTAGTTCCATCCACATTGTTGTGAATGGCAAGATTTCATTCTGTGGATGGCAAGATTTTATTCTTTTTATGGCTGAGTAATAGTCTAGTGTGTGTGTGTGTGTGTGTGTGTGTGTGTATACACACCGCCATTCATCAGTCAGTGGACATTTGGGCTCTTTCCATAATTTGGCTATTGTTGATAATGCTGCTATAAACATCAGGGTGTATGTATCACTTTGAATTAGTATTTTTTTTTTTATTCTTTGGGTAAATACCTGGTAGTGCAATTGCTGAATCATAGGGTAGTTCTGTTTTTAACTTTTGAAGAACCTCCATACTCTAACATATGTTTAGTCAGACTTCTCGAAGGAAAAGAAATATAAGGGAGCATGGCAATATTTGAAGAGATAATTGCTAAGGATTTTACAAAAGTGATGGAAAACAGTAAGCAACAGATTGAGGAGGTCCAATGAATTCTAATTAAATGAGACCCAAGTAAGATAAATAAGTTTATAGCGAGACATACAGAATGATACTGCAAAACAAACAAAAACCAGAAAAATCTTAAAAACTAAGAAAAATGACAGATCACTTTCAAAGGAGCAATAATAATGGAAGTTTGAAGACAATGGAATGATAGTGTCAGTGTGCACAAAGGTTAAAAACTTAACCTAGGATTTTATATGGTGAAAATGTTCTATATGAAAGAATCAAGACAAAGATATTTTCTGACAAAAACTAGAATAATTCATTTCTAGTGGTTTGGTTTTTTATTAAAAGAAATTATACTTGTGGAAGAATAGAATTCTACCTGTAGAGAATAGAAGAAAATGATCCCAGATAGAGGGTCTAAGTTCAAGAAGGGTTGGTAAAGACAGCGGTAAATACGTGGGAGATATTAAGTGGATGCTAACTGCATAAAGCAGTAATAATGATACCTTGTAGGATTAAAATAGTAGAATCAAATTATAGTTTAACAGCAGCTGGGATAAAAAGGATCACTTCATAATGTTAAAAGGTTCAATTCTGCATCTAGTAACAGGATTTCAAAATAGTAAAATGAAAAATTGAACTTAAAGGGGAAATAGATAACTTCATCACCATGGCTCTAGATGTATAATACTCTGTTAAACTGTCTATTGATTTTTTTTCTGCCTTTTTTTGTGTGTTGAGCAATTGAAAACATTTTCAGAAAATGTACTGAGAATAACTTTCCATCTTAATTCACAATTGTTTGGCACACCATTCTTAATTATTGCATGGAATTCTCTTGCCTAAATGTGTAATTGTTTAGCCCAGCCATTCTCAATTTTTAGACAATTTGTTTTCAGTTTAATAGCATATTTGTAGATAAATTTTTATAGACATGAATATTTCTTTGAGATAAATTCTTAGGTGTTTAATGATTGGCATCAGAATATTTTTAAGGTCTTCATCAAGTGGCTTTCCAGAAATGTATCATTTGCAGTTCTGAAAGCAATATGTGAACAAGTATACCATTTCTCCATATATTCTTCATTGCTGCGTTTTGTCATTCACAAATATTTATTTGATGCTAAAGAATATCTTTTAATTTGTATTTCCTTCATTACTAGTGAAAAATATTTTTCATGGATTTCTTAAAAAACTCAGAATGGTTATGTTTATATTCATTTCTGTAAGATATTTAGTTTACTGTTTAAATGTTTCTGTAAACTAAGTAATTAGATAACCAGATTTGTTGGGAATTGTACATTAATAGACTCGGTGAGATTCTGGGAAATACTAATAAGAGGTTTACAGCATCTTTGCATGGGCTTTGGGACACCATGATTCAAAAGCCTTTTCCAGTGACTCCTAGGTTTTAGACTATAGAAATGGGGAATCAAATGACAAGTTTCTGCGTAAGTGGGCTGTGGCTGTAATGTGGCTGATTTTTCATGCGTGTGAACAGAGTGTCGTTGTGCCAATATCCACTTGGGGCGTGTCTTTTAAAACACCAGGCCCTCCCAAGTCTCAGGATACTCTCCTTGTAGTCATCAATGCATTGGTATCTTACACTAAGTCATTTTGGGAAAATTTTTACTGAATGTGAATTTTACCAGTATGTGTATGAAATATTTAGTTTGGGATGTTGTAATTAGGACCAACATGCCCACCATAAAAATGTTAGTGCAACAGGGAGATTTTAAATTTTCTTATTTTTGTTTCTAGAAACCACCAAGTTTTTTATAACAGAGATAATTATTCAGCCGTCTGAAAGAAATTTTTCCATCGTACCAAGGTACAAGTAGCAAATTAAGTTTATTCTGTAAAATGTGGAGAATGATAGGTACAATTGATTATTTGGGAATTCATTTTTATTTATACCTTTCTTTATTTGGAAAAGAAAAATAAAAACTTTTGAAAAAGGCTTAGACAGTTGAACCAAACCACACATATAAAAGACTTGAGGATTCATTTATGGTTTGTTTATTACATAGTGGCATAAGTAAATGTGCTCATCATATAAATCTTCTAAATCTGAAAGTTTTTTGTGCTTCTATTTGTCAGATAATCAAGGTCTTATAACTTAATCATCAATAGGTTTTTGAATAATTATTTCTGGAATTAATTTGATTTATCTAAAATTTGAACATGAGTCAGTTTTCAAATGACTCCTGTGTTTAAAAAAAAAAAAAAAAGTTACTTAGCCACTAAATCCATTAGCGTTTTCTCTCTTTGAATCTTTTTAGTTTGCAAACAGAAGTTAACTATAGTATGTCTTTCAGTTTATTTATGGATATCTAAAAATTATGGCGATCTGAATATAACCTTAAAATTTATCCTTCTGTAAATACTTTGATTCTGTGCCTCAGCTCTGACTCTTTGAGGGGATGTACATGGAAGACATTGTATTTAATACTGTCTAATGTTTGGGAGGAAATATCTCGCCTTCTTTTTTAACTTACTCACTGTTTAATGTGCTACAGCACAAATGGAATATTGACTTGACTAACACAGTATTTTTTCATTCAGTCAAGGGGAATAGTTAGGTTTAGGGTGGGAAGTGTGTTAAGGATTGGAGAATAGGTTATAAGAAGACTGGAGCAAACACAAATACATTAAAATATATTAAAATCCACATTAGCACAGTCTGTGAAGGAATGGGTAGCATATAGAAAAGTCTGGCTGCACACACCTCTGCCTTCTAGGTACCCTGTGGGTATTTTTGGCTCCTCTTGCCAGTTAGAGTTATTATGAAAGGCACATTGTGAAAATTGATTTCTGTTCAAACAGGTCTCAGTTTGTACAGAACGTGATCGCCCAGTGTCTGGTGGAACTCTCCTCTGCTAGAAGCACTTTTAGATTCACTATTCAAGGTCATGATGGCAAAGTGTACATCTTGGTAAGAAGTGACTTCTCCCAGCTTTCTGTAGCTCGGTAATCCAGGGTCTCAGAAATTCTTTAGTCTTGCCATTCTCTTTTCTTTAATTCTCAGGTCTAGAAAATAAATGATCAAAAATTGAATTCATATATCAGTTTAATTCACAAATCAAACTCCCTTAATTTAATAATAAAAGATCAAGTGCCTCTATGTGCTAGGTACTGGGGATATAGAGAAATAAAACCTGATTCCTGCTCACACCACAAAATAAAGTTTTTCACTCCAAGTTGTTAATAGGCTTTTCTTGGTCACTAACTTAATTCTGTTTCTGTCACTTTTTTCCCCTATTGATTTTTCCCTATTTTTCCCTCTTGATACTCTTCTGTTTAAAATATGTTCTGTTGCTCCTATTTTTGTGTATGTGTGTATGTGGTAAGAATGCTTAACGTGAGACCTACCCTCTTCATAGATTTTTTTTTTTAGATTTTTAAGTGCATGATAACAATATTGTTAATTATAGGCACAGTATTACGTGGAGATCTCTAGAACTTATTCATCTTGCCTAACTAAAACTCTGTGCCCTTTAGTGAGCAACTCCTCATTTCTCCCTCCCTAGCCCCTGGCAACTACCATTTTATTCTCTGCTTCTATGAATTAGACTATTTTATATTCCTTATGGAAGGTGGCATCAGGCAGTACTGTCCTTCTGTGTCTGGCTTATTTCACTTGGCATACTGTCCTCAAAGTTCATCTGCATTGTTGCATATTACAAGGTTTCCTTCTTTTTAAAAAAAATAATATTCCATATGTGTATGCACCACATTTGCTTTATCCATTCATCTGGTGACGGACATTTAGATAGTTTCTGTATCTTAGCTATTGTAAATAGTGCTGTAGTGAACACGGGGGTGCAGATACCTCTTCGAGGTCCTGATTTTAACACATTGATATTTGAGAAGTAGTGGCAAGTTTTGGATAAGAGGCCGTGCGGTTAGCAGAATCGTCCCCTGCATCTAAAATATGGTAGCTCGAAGGAGGGAGAGAGTTATGGTTGTTGTTAAGTGTGGCTTTGTAGTTGGCCATCCTTTATGGGGACCCCGTGCTTCTCTGATTCCAGATCATTTCTACCAAAGCTAACATACTTCTGGACTGAAGTTAATACTGAGTGTGCCTCATAGTCATAGTCTGAAATCAGTTTTAATTTTCTTTTACTGTAAGGTTTTTCAGGTTAAAACTCAGGAATAGGAAACACCTGAAAACCTAAAACTTACTGCTAATATATATTTAAATTCAGGGGCGCCTGGGTGGCTCAGTCAGTTAAGCATCTACCTTCGGCTCAGGCCATGATCCCAGGGTCCTGGGATCGAGCCCCACTTTGGGCCTGTTTCTCCCTCTCCCCCTCACCCTGCATGTGCTCTCCCTTGTGCTCACTCTCTCTCTCTCTGTCAAATAAATAAATAAAATCTTTTAAAAAATAAATTCAAAGAAACTTTGTTGTAAAAGTAATACATTCTTGAAACATTCAGACAACAGGAAGAATGTAAAAGAAATGGTATTCCCCCATCTTGTCTTCACTCCTTGTCTTGCTATATCACAGTATTTGAAGGTAAACATTACTAACAGTGTGGTATGTGCACTTCAGCATCTTCTCCCTCTCTATATACAACTCTGTGTTCATACGCTCACATTCTGCTTTTCTGTTCGTGAAACATACCCGAGTCACATAACAAGCATTTTTCTTCTTCATGTTTCCTTCACTCAACAGTATAGCATAAGGATTGTTTCTTGTGAGTTTAAATCTAGACCAGGGTCTTGAGTGACTAGAAATCCAGTGTGGCTGTTAAAGACAATGCTGCAATGAAAATAATCTTTTGTGTATTTTTAGTACTTCTTTGGAAATAGACCTTTCTAATCTAAGACACTATTAGAAGTTGTGTTTTTTAAACCGATAGTTATCACCCTCCAGAAAACTTGTACTCACTTATCCCATATAGTTAGACATTCTTGGTGCCCTACCCAGACCCTCCTTACTCAGGCTGGTGCACCCAGTTCCCAGCTGCTGAGACATGCCCTTACATGACAGGTGCCACCTTGTTCGGAAAGTTACCTCTTCCCCACCCTTGCCCTGGTCAGTCTACTGCCAGTGATTTGACCCTCGGGTACAGAAAGCAGGGGCCTCCTGTCTCAAGGTGGGACAGACTCTGTAGGTACCATTCTTGCGTCAGAGCTCCCCATGGGATGAGGCTGAAGCCAGACTCCAGCTGAGCCCCTCAGTGAATAGCGTGCATCCAAATCCCGAAACCCTCTTCCACCAGCAGACCAGCCCCCTCTACTGAACTGGATGCTATTATCTTTTTTAATTTTTCTTTTTTAAGATTTTATTTATTTGTCAGAGAGAGAGAGAGAGTGCACAAACAGGGAGTGGCAGGCAGAGAGAGAAGCAGGCTCCCTACTGACCAAGGAGCCCGATGCAGAACTCAGTCCCAGGACCCTGGGATCATGACCTGAGCTGAAGGCAGATGCTTAACCGACTGAGCCACCCAGGTGTCCCTGTTATCTTTTTGTACTTGCCAATCTGATACGTGAAAAAGGGTGGCACATGATTTTTACATTTTCTTATTATTATATTAACATTTTTACATATGTTTATCACTTACTTCTTCTGTTAATTCTGTTCATATTCTTTGCCTTTATTTCTTTTGGGCTGTTTTTGCCCCCTTATTGATTCCTGGGAGCTCTGTATATTACAGATAATAACTTTGTTATCTACATATTAACTATTTTCTCCTAGTTGGTTGTCTTTTTTTTTTTTAACTTTATGATCTCATTGGCTCTACCAGATGTTACACTTTGAAAGACTTATCATACTTAAAAATTATATACAGGTTTCTTCTTTTTTTTCTGGTATTTTTATAGTTTTGTTTGTGTTTTGTTTTTTAGTGGTGGTATGAGATACGGACAGGGTGATGATAATATCCTTATACTTGGACTTTTCTCTCTGTATCTTTAGCTGTGGCTTTTAAACTCAGACAGCTTGGTGATTGAATCTTTGGGAAGTTCCAAGAGTATCAAAAAATTCCCCCTGTTGGAAGATATCTTGAAGGCAGATTCCAGTTCTGCCTGGAATGCTGTCAAGGTCCTCTATCAGCCATGCATCAAAAACAGGAATGAAAAGTAAGTTGTGCTTTTGTTTTCTCATTCCACATTATGTTTTAGTTTCTTTTGCCATTTGGTGTTGAGAAATCAGTGAATTAAATGGTACCATACCACTTCCCTATTTGAAGCTTCTAGGAGTCGTATTGCTAAATATTATGCTTTAAAGTAGATTAATTATTACAGATGATTCATGCTAATGTGCAGAAAGCTTGCTTTTACTGAAAATAATTGGTCTTTTTCTTGTAATCTCAGCTGTCTGTGCATATGGCTGCAGTACTAAATCAGGTATCAACACTATGAATATTTACTTTTAAGCACTTTCCAGGCATTCAGGATGCAAAGGTGAACAAAACACAGTCCTTCTTTCCCCGGGCTTGTCATTGTAATAGGGAGAAGGCAGACCATCAGCAATACAGTCATAAAATCATGAACTGATGTGGCTCCTACTAGAGCCAGGCACTCATCGGAGGGCTTCTGGCTCATTTAAGCCTAACATCAACCCTGCAGGGTAAGGTACTATTATCACCCTCTTTAGAGATAGGGACACTAAGACACAGGTGTAGAAATTACTTTAGTGAAATATAAAGCAAGGCAAAGTAGTTGGGGAGTAGTAGGGTGGGTGTAGGAGGTTGTCATTTTATATTGAAAAGTCAAGGAAGTTTTCTCAGATAAGATGATATTTAACTGGAAAACTCAAAGGAAGAAAAAGAGTGAGCCTTATCTGAGAGAACAGTGTTCCTGGCAGAGGGAACAGTTGGAAGTTTATACTTGTCTTGTACTCTCCAGTGAGTTTGATCAAATTGTAATAAGAACAGAAAGATCCCAGTCTTTTTGGGGAAGTAAATAAGAAATTTTGAAAAATTGCTCTTTTCTTTTTTGGATTATACAAGCAGTACAAATCATAAATATTCAAACAGTTGAGACATACATAAAGTAAAATATGAAAATTCTTCCCTCTCTGAAAATAAAAGTATGTTGTCTATTCTTCAACTCCTTTTTCTATTTCTATTTATTTTTCATCTTAACATGATTTGAACGATACAGGTGTATTTTTTACACTTAAAAAAAAAGGCAACACTGTAGAGTCTTGGAAATTCTTTCCACATAAGTGCTTGGCATTTTATGAAATGGATGTACTATAAATAATTTAACTGTTTTTCTGTTGATAGATACTTGGGTTATTACTGTTTTCCTTCTGTAATTAGCATTGTGCTGTGTGTTGTTACGCAAATTTGGTTTGTAATTATGTGTACTTTTCTTATGAGGGATTTCTAGAAGTAGAATTGCTGTGGCAAAGGTATGACATTTAAAATTTTGATAGATAATATCAAGTTACTTTGTAAAAAAGCATCGCCAGTTTATATATACTCCTACCTGGAGTTTCTATAAATTCTACTTCCCTGAAGCCTCACCCAAACTGCCATTTAGATTTTTGCCCATTTTTTGGCATTCTAAATGAAACAGCTCAGATGACTACCCTTGCGTTGTTTTGAGGTATGATCAGAGAATATGGCTTATGCTTTGATGCTTTGGGGACTTTGGTGTGTGTGTGTGGCCTAATACAGTCACGTTTTAAGCTGTTGGTTGCTTGTATCCTCTATTTACTTGTGTGTGTTTGTGTGTGTGTGTGTGTGTGTGTGTGTGTGTGTGTGTGTGTACTTCTGTATATTTAGACTTATATAGTGAAGCTTATTAAAACCTTTTCACATTTTTTATTCCTTTGAAATGTGCATTTTTGAGAAGGGTGTGTTAAATATAGAAAAGTTTTTTTTGTTCTGATTTTGATATCAGTTTTTGCATTATATATTTTGAAGCTAGGTTTTTAGGTACATAAATGTTTGTGCCGTGACACTTTGCCTAATTACATATTTTATCCATGAAAGATTTTGCTCTTCTTCCATTTGATGCTATTTCCCTTTAATTCCAATCTGCCTGATGTTAATATTGTTATATTTCCTTTCCTTTTTTTTTTTTAATTGCTAATTTGTTAGACAGTAGTCCCCTCTTACATGGAGTGTCATGTTCTGTGGTTTCAGTCACCTTTGGTCACCTGCATCCACAAGCAGATGATCCTCCTCCTAACGTATGGTCAGAAGGTCAGTCATAGCCTAATGCAAGGTCATGGTGTCTCCATCACTTGCCTCACTTCATCTCATCACATAGGCATTTTGTCATTTCACGTCATCACCATCATAAGAAGGTGAGTTCAGTACAAGAAGATATTTTGAGAGAGAGAAAGAGACCACATTTACATAGCTTTTATCACAGTATATCATTGTAATTGTTCTATTTTATTATTAGTTATTGTTAATCTCTTACCATGCCTGATTTATAAATTAAACTTTATCATAGGTATGTATGGATAGGGAAAAGCATAATATATATAGGGTTGGGTACTATCTGGGGTTTCAGGCATCCACTAGGGGGTCTTGAAATGTAACCCCCATGGAGAAGGAGAATGTTTTTCCATTTCTTTCTTTACAGCTGTCCTTTGTTATTTTATCTTAGGTATATGTCTTGCTAACATGTACCTTGTAAACTCTGTAGGTGGATATTTTAAAACTACATTATGACTGGGGCACCTGGCTGGCTCAGTTGGTAGAACATGCAACTCTTGATCTTAGGGTCGTGAGTTCAAGCCCTACATTGTGTGCAGCCTACTTAAAATAAATTAAAAACAAAAAACAAAAAACAGGTGAATCCAGAGAAAGACAATTATCATATGATCTCACTGATATGTGGAATTTAAGAAACAAGGCAGAGGATCATAGGGGAAGAGAGGAAAAAATGAAACAAGATGAAACCAGAGAGGAAGACAAACCATAAGAGACTCTTAATCTTAGGAAACAAACTGAGGGTTGCTGGAGAGGAGGTGGTAGGGTGATAGGGTAACTGGGTGATGGATATTAAGGAGGGCATGTGATGTAATGAGCACTGGATATTAAATAAGATTGATGAATCACAGACCTGTACCCCTAAAACCAATAATACATTATATGTTAATTAATTGAATTTAAATTAAAAAAAAACCCTTATGAGTGGCAAAAAAAAAAAAAGAATTAACCAAAGATATAGGTACTTATTGGGGTGTTGGAATAAAGCAAATATAAATGGTCCATTAAAAAACAAATAAACAAAAAACAGGTGAATTAGAAGAAAACAAACTCCAATACAACAGTCTATTTTAAAAGTGAATTTAATCCACACTAACTGTGATTATTAATGTAGTTGAACTTATTTTATTGTCTTTTACATTGGTTGTCTTCTCTATCATTTCTTGATGATTTGGAAGTAAAAAAAAATATTTCAAGATGATTTTTAGTGGTTAACCTGAAACTTCTAATATATGTACTTAAACTTCTTTTTTTTATTATCAATTTCTAGATTTAACTAGTACCCATACTCTTCACCAGAACAAGAAAATACTCTTAATAAGTTTCTCATTTCTTCTTTCTTTCCCTGTCTTATGCACTTTCCTCTATGTTGAGATCATTTATGATTCTACTGATAGTGGTTCTTTCTTCTTAAAGAAGCCCTACCCCATTTGCTTACCTCTTACACTCCTGTATCACGGCCATAAATGTCTTTATATTTTTATTGTATCTCTACTTCCATGAAAATATTTGATGTTTTTAAAGTATTTATAAATAGTATTATAGTATGTATTTTTTTGCTGTTTTTCACTTCATAGTCTTTGTTTCATTGTTTGCTTTGATGAAATATGCTCTTTCATAGTTCTTTTAAAGTTGAACTGTAGTCAGTCCTTGAATACCTGATAATGTCTTATATGATATTCTCTGAAAACCTATAGGATTTCTCTTTATCTTTGTTTTTCTAAGATTTCATACAGATATATCTAAATGTTAGTGTTTATTCAGAATTTTCTCATGTCATATCTGTTCTTATTTTACAAATGAAGTATTCTCTCAATATCTGAGAATAATAGTGATACTTCAAGTCTTCTATTTTCTCTACTAACTCTTTTCTTTGGGTGTTAACTCTTCTCTTTGAAAAGATATTTTGTGATTGATACTTTGTTTCATGGTGTTGCTTTCCCCAAATGTTTGATGCTTCTGCTAGAATTCCTGCCTTCAGATGTATACTCCAGTGAATCAGGACCTTGTCTATCTTGCTCATTACTACATCTGGATGAGTTGTTTATTTTTTAAGATTTTTTTTTTTAATGTATTTATTTGAGAGAAAGAGAACACAAACAGGGGGAGTGGCAGAGGGAGAAGCAGACTCCCCTCTGAGCAGGGAGCCTGATGCGGGGCTTGATCCCAGGACCCTGGGATCATGACCTGAGTTGAAGGCAGACATTCAACCGACTGAGCCACCCAGTCGCCCCTAGATGAGTTCTTGTAGAAGTGTTTAATACATACAATTATGGTCACATTTGACAAAACATTTGTTAAATGAATGGTTCATAGTTTTCTGCTCATCTTTATATTTGATCATTACTGTTCATCTATGGGTAACTGTAGGTTCTTGTTGCCATAGTCTGCCTTTACGGATTTGTGAAAGAGAACTCAAAGGATATACCAGTGTGGATGGGCCAGTTTGTCTTTTGAGAGCTTTTGGGTGCTAAGGAAAAGGAATTGGTAGTAGATTTCAGTTACAGTGGTGAACTTATATTCATTATTGTGAAGGATCTTTACACTGCCTCTCTTGAGGAGAGTGACAAGGATTCAGTGTACTGTCTCATTATTTCACTCATTCCTAACAAATCCCTGTGACGCTGGAAATGACTATAGTCAGTTGTGTTCTGCTGTATTTGATTAGTAGACTTTTTTTTTTAATTTTGTATGTCATGTCTTGGGGACGTAATAAATGAGTTTGATGAGTTCACTTGGCCTGTTGTATATCATCTTTTGTTTTGCTTTTTCTCCTACTACTGGTTGACTCTGTATCCCCCAAAGGTAGTAAAGGAACTTCATAAACTGGGTAAGCATCCTGCGAGTTATTTGCTTTTGTCTTTAAGGACATTGTCTTTTAAGAGACATTAGTTTCTTTCTTTG